CGAGATTATATTCTGAACTGTACTCAGTGAATCGATTATACTCTGAACTGTATTCAGCGCATCGACCGGGAGGATGATCTGCACACGGTATCGGGCCAATACTGACCGAATCCAGAAGAGGAGAGCGAGCAAACGGAACGTGGCGACAACCTATGCATTCGGATGTGAAAGAAGAAAGGCGATACGAGAATGCAGTGGCCAAAAATGAAGCAGCATGGCGATGCAGTGGTGATTCAAAGAAGTTCGATGGACATTCAAGGAACGAGAGGACATTAGAGAAGGTGGGTATATATGTCAATTATTAGTAACGATTCACTTTTCATTGAATAATCGAATTCATTTCCGAAATTGCGGATGGGTCGACGAGCCGAAGGCGCGTGTGGTGCGATGGATATATGGAGGGAAGGGGTCGCAGGCCGATGGCAGAGACGAAGACGATCTACAGCCCTACAAGAGGGCGAAAACAAGAAAGGTCGAATCATCAGCCCACGGGATCGGGCCAGAATCACGAGGATCTTCAGCCCATGGTATCGGGCGAATGTGGACAGCGATCAAACGACGAATCAACAAAAAACGACAAAAATATCAACAAGAATAGCAACAATATCGAATATCAACAAAAATATCACCAAGGAAACTGGCCAGTTTGAAAGCTTTTTCAATTTATCATTTTTAAACTTTATTTTCATTACATTAGGGAAATAATAAATGAGTGGTGGTTGAGTAACCACACTTTTTAATTATTTCTTTTCACTTTCTTTCATATTAGGGAATTGAAAAATAAAAGTGAGGTGTGGTCGGTGACCACTTTTTGCATGATTTATTTATTTATTTATTTATTTATTTATTTATTCATTTATTTATTCGTAGTTTTAATATGTATTATCATAAGCGAGAACTTATTTTCGCATCGCAATGCTTTAAGTGGGGGGATTTTTAGGGCGCGTTGATTTTATTATTATTGTTGCGAGTATTAATCGTGTTATTGATATTATGATTGAATAGTGTTATTATTATAAAATTATTGTTGTGTATTAATGTAATGTAATTTTGTCATATACCGATCAGCATGATAGAGGGGGGGGGAACTTCACTATTATTTTAGTCCAGGGGCTTTCGTGGTACTCCAGAACCTATGTTACACATCCGGGAAGGGGGTTTGGTTGGGAGTGGGATTCCTTAATTAATTTACTTATTATTAAAAAATTAAACTAAAAAATCAAAATGAATTCATCATCAAACGCGGGATAGTGTGGTGGGGGGTTGGTTTTGTGAATTTTATTGTTAATTAATTGTGCATTCATTTTTATTGTATTGTTTATTTATTCATCCACATTTAAATATTAGAATGATTTGTGAATATTATTATGCTTATTATTATTATTATTATT